AGAGAGAGAGAGAGAGAAGGAGGAGGAACAGTGAAATCGGAATATCGGATCAATATAAAAGAACTTAAAAATGACTTAAACAATCCAAATCTACTATCCTGAGCCGAATTAATTAAAACGTCATTGTTTAAAATAATAAAATAAAATTTCACTGAAAATCAGTGAAATTCTGATTAAACAGACTGATTCAGTTTAAGATAAATTTGGATTCTCTAAGCTATTTTTAAATCCTTTATTATTTCACTGACCATCAGTGTATACATACTTTGCTTCTTCTGATATCTTACTATTTACAGTCAATAGAAATAATATTCTATTGTATAATCAATGGATTAATCGATAATAATAGAATTGATTTGACGTCTATCTCGACAAGTATTTTCTTAATGTTATTCAGAGTGTGTACTTAAATTTTGTAAATTCCTTGAGTATTCCCGAATTTTCCAGGAATTTTAATCAAAATCCAGGAAATTTATAAAAATTTTTAAGGCAGTTTTAAAATAAATTTATTTATCACACGAATTTTTTCATATTTTTTAATCATTTAATTATAGAGAAAAACTACTTGAGATTTGAATATTAAATTGAAGAATACTAAAAAAAATAATATGAAGAGCCGTATAACAGTTTGTCTACAATACATAGATTTAGCTTATCAGAGATACAGACTTTCAAAAATGGTTCAAAAATACACAACGCATAATGATAAGGAATATTATTATAAATTATATTAATTAAATAATATATATTATGCAACTATACACTAAAAAGTTAATATTGATTTATTAATTACGAAGTTAATCTGAATAATATATCTATTAAAGAATTATTATAAAACACTATTTAAACATTCGACACATAACAGAAATATACACAAAAATATAAAATAAAAGATGGTATTTTTAAGAAAAAGAATGAACATCTAAAATATAAGAAATAATTTTGCCAAAAAGAAATAAAATTTATATTTAAAAGTAAAATTTCAAAAATTTCTTTGAATACTAATGAAATTTCATGAAAATCCACGATTTTCAAGAAGAAAAATTAAATCTCCTGAAAATTTCAGGTTTTCCCGATTTTTCCCGCTAGTACACACCCTGCTATTGCTATCGCTATAATCGATAAATCACATAAAAAAAATATTGCCTATTAAACTCATTGTTGTGCCTCTTTTTTGGGAAAATGGATGTTGTAACATAAAATCGAGATATATTTTGGAATAGGTCGGTTTATGGTACCAAATTTAATCGTATTTTTGATGATTAAAAGAACTTAAAAAGAATTTAAAAAGTTGATTTTGTTAGTACTTTCAAATATAAATTGTAATCTTGAATGGAATGAATTAAACATTTTGAAGATTGTATTTGCTACAATAGAAGAAAGAATCATGTCATCGATATATTTACGGTAGATTGATACCGGAAAAATAATAATCGCAAAGATCTTGTACTTTTCAATTCCTGCATTATCAAGTTCGCGATAATAAATGACAAAGAAGAGGCCATATTCCAAAGTTATATTAATAGATGATTATATTAAGAATATGAAAGAAGTATATTCAAACTAATTGAAATTCCACTAACTGAACTGTGTCCATGAATTCATTTTTATAGAAATATCATATTCATTTGAGATAAATTATCATTTATTGAAATACATTACAGAAATGTATTCAATCGCCAAATTAATGGAAACAGTCGTAAAACAGTCGTAAAAAAGATGTTATGTTTAAAACAATTAAAATAATTTTCATTGTCTATTTATGCCTCTGTTAAATTCTCAATTAATTTAAAAGAAATCCATTTTTAGAAAACTATTGTTTTAAAATATTACATAAAGTATGACATTTCTTTTAGTATATTCAATCTATATTAATATATTTTAAACATTAATTTTTAACATATTAATAACTTTATACATCTTAAATTTGTCTCGTTATGCTTTGTATATCATACCTAAGACCATAATGTATATCTTATTATTTTTTATTTATTAATAGAAGAGAAATGGATACTATGGTCATTTGTAATATCTTCGTTATTAGACAAGTTCTAGTAATCATTATTTATAAAATCATTTGTTTAGTAGCTTGCTGTTATGCAATGACGCTAATACGCTAGTACACAATAATCAACATTTGTTATAAGGCATTTTTATTTTCAAGCAATTTTTCTAAAGTACACTTTAACATTCAATTACACTTACTTTCTCTATTTTTTTTTAAATTAAATTTCAACGTATTATCACATGAATATACGTACACTTGAGTATTTTTTTATTATTTAACATTTTATTCAGCTAAATACTAAGCTAAATATTTAGTTATGCAAAGTTAAACAATAACATAATATTTTATTAATGAGATCCTCTAAGCGTGCTAATAATATGTTTATTTTCGAGATTTTTGTATTAAAATAATTCTTCGATTATAATTTAAGTTCAAGTTAAAAATGCAGTTTGTCTATAATCTCTTTTCTAATTGAAGTAAATCAGTATCTATTTCTGTTTATTTTATAAAGCTTTGCGGTTATATCGTTTTTTCTAACAGTTTATTTTAAATATATAATTATTATTTAAAGTGTATAATTTATTTTAAATTATATATTTATTTATATTGATATTTTTTAATATTAATTTTTATATTAATATTTTTATATTGATTTTATTGATATTTACATTTATTTATTGTAGTTTATTTTAAAATAAAAATATAATTTTATGATAAAATACTGTGTCTCTTTTAAATAAAATTAAATTTCTAAATTTATTTTTATAACTCAAATTATCACTCCTGTTCTTTTTCGACTCATTATGTATGTCATTACATTTTTATAAATAATATCCAAATAATATCCAATGCAATAAATATTTCAACTTTGAATCTAGAACCTATTGAATAACATTTTGATGAATATGATCGTTAAGTTTTCAATTTAAAATATTGACTATTAACAAAGTTATTGTACAAAACGTAAATGGATGGCCATAATATCACTTTTTCCTCTATTATTTATATAAATATATATATGTATGAATTATTATTATTTCATATATTTAGGAAACATTGGACTAATAAATATATTACAATATTAATTTTATCATTTTATAATCAACGTACCATTTTCTCCTTATTGTATTAAATAATATTTACTGATTAAACCAATGTATACACATACACGTACCACTGATTTTATTTTTCATAACCATTGTTTCCTGCAGTTCAATATTATTGATTAAAATAGTTAATATTATTAAGTTATTTTTTAACTTCTCATTTCCACCCACTAGATTAATTTTGATTGCGGTTCAACTTATCCTTTATCTTTCTCTCTCTCTCTCTCACTTTTGATTCATAGAATTTTATATATATATATATAAATGAAAAGTAAATTTAACCAAGAACATTGTTAATTATTAGTAACTATTCATTATTTTTCAGTGACGATAAACTAATTCTATTCTAAAGAGTGAAATCGGTCGTTTAACCAATTCGACACACTACCATAAATTGAAATATTTTCTGCATTTTTTTTTTTAAATATCGATTAAAGCTACGCCAAACTTTTCTTTGAAACTTTAAGCGAGTTTTTTTAACTCATTGATTTTTAATTGATTGATGAATCGCAAGTACAACTTTGCTTCATAAAAAAGTAGGATTCGCGCAGAAACGCGATTGATCGATAATCGATGAAAAAAAACTCGCCTTTTGTGAATATATCGCAAATTAGAAAAAGAAAAAGACAGACCTTTTTGTCGATCTGCCTGATTCCTCGCGCTCGTCGAAGGTAAGTGGAAGAAACGAGCATTTTGACGAGCTCCCCTAGACAAAAGGCTTGCGATCGGAAGCGCATATTCCCGCCGGATCTCGGAGGCTCCACGCGAGAGGGCGCTCGCGCCGCGTCGTCCACCTGAGATTCCAAGAATTTATCCGGTGGCGATCGATGCGAATGACGGAGGGCGGCCAAGGACCGATCCACCGGCGCGGGATCGATGCGAAGATGTCGCACGGCAATTTGCTGCAGGGATACAATTGTAAGTAACGCGAATTACACCTCGATCCTCGCCGTTTCCTCTCGGCGACGGGCCGCGGATCCGCGAGCGGACGCGTCGCGCGTGTGACCCATATGAAAAATGAGCTCTGATAATGGCGGCTTTCGTTTATTTGACGCCAGACAAAAAACAAGCCGAGAGATCTGCCGGGAGAGCCGAGCCGCGAATCGCGACGTGCCGTGTCACCTCGAGAGGATCGGTGCTCGCGTGTTCTGAGAAGAAAAAAAGGCCGTTTTTCCTCCTGTAGTAGAGTAGGAATTACTCGGTGAATAAAAGAACGCGTTGTATCTTTCCGCGAAACGAATTGTGCGTTGCTGGATTCCTGGCTTGCGGATTCTCGGAATCGTCGCTGCTTCCTGCAGAATGTCGTCGTACGCTTCCTTCCCCGACTATGATGGCGTTATTTGGCGTTGCGAGTTAAAGTTTGTGTACGCAGCAATGCCTGGGAATCGCAAATTGCGGCAAAAAATGTCAGAGTAAAATGCTCTGGAAAATAATACTAAATATTTATGTTAGTGAATCATAAATAATAGGATTAAATATTATGTTAAAAGTAAAATATGTTCTATTTTTTTTTATATACATTATGTAGTAATAGAAATAGATTTGCAGATTGCAGACAACGGCTAGATTAATTATATTAGATCATATTCTCTTTGTTTCGTGAGCTTTGATTTTAATTAACAGATATTTCGATAGAGCATTAGTTATTTTAGATAAATATGCGGTATAACGTCCTCCTCTGATTTTTTTTGTAATTTTGTAAATTTATATATTTTCGTATTATACATAGAATATTCTGAGAAGAAAAATCGTCTCTCAAGTCTCGAATTTTTTTTTTTTATTTCAAAGCTTTTTTATATTTGAATTTTAATTCACATAAAAAGAGTGAAAAAGATATAAATTTTGAATCACAAAGCATTCTCTTATAATTTAAATTATATAAGAAAATAATGTATGTGTTTGTAATTAATTAAAACAAAATATGCAGCTAATTATCTTATCATTAATATTTTAATTTACTAACATCAAAAACCTTTAAAAGTAAAAGAAAACTTGTGTGATGATTTTCCTTCTCAGAATATATTCTACGCATAAAAATACACAAATTTACAAAATTACAGCAAAACTGGAGTAGAGAGTGTTATACTGCATATTTATCAAATATTATGTTAAAAATACATTAAGAATATATTCCATTTTTTAAATATATTATAAATAATGGAAACAGATTGTAATTGGCATATGACAATGGAAGATTAATTGTATCAGATTATATTCTCTTTCTTTGTTTCATCGGCTTTAATTTTTAATTAATAGATATTGCAATAGATTTAGTATTAAATTATTTTT